CATGCTGTAAAATCTTCCGCCGCTGGGCAGCTTGTGCTACTGTAACACTGCTGAGTCTTTCTTGCAGCCTGTGTCAAGGATTGAACTTTCCAAATTATGTATTTCAGACGTTGAGAAAGAAAGGACTTAATGGCTGTGACAGTCCAGACCCCGATGCAGACGATTCAGTAGGTCACAGCCCTGAGTCTGAGGACAAGTACAGAAAAATTAATGAAGATATTGATCTAATGATCAGCAGGCAAAGATTATGTGTAAGTACTCTGAGCTCCCTTTCATTTTTTTTACTTTTTGATATTTCTCTGAACCTGGCAGGCATTGAACAAGAAAGAAAACAAAGGTTGTGAAAGCCCCGATCCTGACTCCTCTTACGCTCTCACCCCACGCACTGAAGAAAAATACAAAAAAATAAATGAAGAATTTGATAATATGATCAAGAGCCATAAAATACCTGTAAGTACCAAAGGTTAGATGGCTGTCTGCTGATAACTGCTGCAGTAACAAACCATAACCCTTTCAGTTCTGGCTTCTTAAGGAAAACATTTCAGCTGGAAACAGGCTTTAATAGCCCAATATATAATTAAACACTGTGGTCAGAAAATTTCACACAACATATTTTTCTTCCAAGCCTCTACCTCTGACACACAGACAAAGCCTACTATAGGTGAAACCTACAGAAGGAAGTGAAATATACATATATACATTATATTCACTTGATTTACAGAACTGTTTTACCACACCACTCACCCAAATTACATCTAAAAAATAACGATGGAAATCTTTCTTTGTGGACAGGCTAACGAACCCACAGAATACTTTCTGTGGTGATATAGAAAAAACAATGTAGAACTGAAATTCCTTTATATATAGTAATTAGTGCGTTCTGTGCGTGTCACTTCAGTTCTCAAGTGTCTCTGCTAAACTCAGTTGCAGCACTGAAGGGTTACAGCTACTTGCTCGCTGCAGAGAAACAGACTGCATGAGAGCCTAATGGTAGGATTCAGACATGTTTGTGTGTTGGGGTGATTTTACAGCTTTATCAGAGAATTTGCTTTGACCTCATCAGCATTTCTTTAATGCTTTAACATGAGCTAAATTTTGTTTTAACCAAGTCAAAATTTCTAACCATCAGTCATATGCCTTGCCAGATATCTAAGAGAAATAACTCTGCATGTGCTATTTTGTTTGCACAAGACCTACAAGGGGAGAATACTTTTGTTACTATGTTTAATACTCCATTTATAAAGCCAACAAAAAGAATGTAGAGATTTGGAGGTTATATTTGGCCCTTCAAACGTGTGTGGAAGAGAAAGCAGAAAACCAAAGATTTGCCCAGGTCCAAAGAAGCATCTGAATTTGCATAGATAACTGCTTGCTGCTGGAAGAGATCATTTGGATGCGTTCATTCCTCATTCCCACATGCAGGTTGTACAGTTAGCTGCCAAAAAAGATGTCTATGTACTCAGAATGAGCAAAGTCTCTTCTGCAGTGCTAGCCAGTTGATAAGTCCTAAGCTGAGGATACCTCTTAAGGATGCCTAGATTCTGTCTCATGCAGTGTAAGTGTTCTTTCCGTTAATTCTCAGCAGAAAGATTTTCATACAAGTTAATTAAAATTTGAAGAAGTTATCACATCATGTATTTTGGGGGGAAAAAAAAAAATAATAAAGATTTTCCCAGAGACCAGAATTTCACCAAATTTGATAAATTAGTACTTGGAATGGCTGGTTAATGATGCCCAACATGTATATAAAATATCAGGGAGGAATATACATACATTCCGCCCTTTTTTACCTCCCTTTTTATCTGCTTCTTTTGCATAGCTTGTTTTTCTCAGAAAAAAAAAGCCCTAAAGCCGTCACCATGAATTTGGTTCCTCGGGATGGAACTCAGTTTGACAAATGATGACTGCACCATTTAGGGTGACTGTTATAAGCTGGAATGCTTAACCCTTTTCCACGTCAAAATCTTGCCAATTTTCATTCCTTTCCTCTGTCAAGGATGACCTTTGGCTTGTTCAAATCAAAGTGACGGAATTTTCAGTGAGATAGTATTTAACCAAGCTACTTTTCCACTATAAAAATTGTGTCTGGGATGGTCCTTCAGATCCTCTGCTTCTCTCATGCTACCTGGTTTTGTTCCAACAAAGCAGCACATGTTACAACCATTTGAAATCTTAAGACATGAAAAAAAACTTGGAAAAAACCTCATTCCTGTGGTAGTGAGTTCTAGCACTTTCTTTACCTCCATAAGCATTTGGGAAAATCATCTTTTCTATAAAACCAGGAAAGTTCAAGGAATTAGCAACAACACAATCTAAACATGTTACATTGGTTTTGTCCTCCCCAAAAATGAATGTACTTTCCCTCTGGTTTCTTTCATTAAAGTTACATTTGACATCAAATATAGTCCTACTTCAACTATTAACTTGGCGATTAACTTGGTTTCCTGAGCCGTATTTTGGGTATAATGCAACTTCCTACCTTGCGGGGATGTTACAAGGTACAATGTATTATCTTTTTGTGAAATTGCTTCAGAGGTACAGAACTGCAAAATGGTAGCGTTTCTTTTCATGTAAGACAGGATATCCCTTCTTTGAATACTTCACACGCAGAGCTCAAGGGCCGTGTGCTCCATCAAGCTGCTTACCACAAAAGGAAGAATCAGTAGGTGTCCTCCCCTAATGCAACAGGACCTCCTTCTCTTAGTACAAGCCGAGATGTAATGGGCAAGACGGAGCTCAAAGCTAGTACATAATGGAAAATTGTAAATATAATATATTTTAATGCATATATAATATATTATATTATATGCAGTAATACTCTTAACTGTACAAATCAGTATTAACTGCAGGGAAGTCAGGAAAGTTGTATTCATTTACTTGTGATCATCAAAGGTAGCCAAGAAAATTGAGGGCAAGAAAGCAAAATTGAAAAAAAAGTCACCAAGTCAAGTCATTAAATCACTACTTACAAAATAAATAAAACAATGCAATGCCTGTGCCTCGTCTTGTAACAGAATAAAGCTGCTGCCAAATGAAAACAAAATTGGCTTTTGCTCCTAACAGCGAAGGCCAATAATATTTCCTCAGATCATTTTCTGGGGATAAGTATTTATATTGTTCTAAAACATCTGATAATAATTAGACATTTATTTGTAGTTTTCATAAGAGTGATGAAAGCAGAGGAGACAGAAATAGTCCACTAGAAGGGAGCTGTAAGTATCTCTGTCTCTAAATAAATGAAGGCCTGGTTGAACATGGGGAGGATAAAAACAATACTTAACGCAGAATGTTTGATCCATTAATTTCCAAGGGTTTCGAGTCCCCAACACTTTGCCTCGCACAACATACCACAGCTCGTGGAGCGCACATCTAACACAGCGTGTGCTGTACGCTGGTGGTTTCCTCTCAGGTGAGCCATCTGCCCCCCTTGGCAACTATGTCCAAAGGAGAAAAGACAGAGAAATAAAAAAAAAAAAAAAGCAAAATGTGGCAGGCTGCATACACATCAGAGTAAGGCTACGTCTTATGTTAGTAAACTAGCAAATGGCAAAGAGCATACCGAGGCAGCGGGAGGTGCTTATCTCTGCCCTGAACTGTTCTCACAGTCCCTGGCATGCGTTTGGCACCTGCCAAATAACGCTCTCCCAGACGATTCCTTAGCTCTGTTTGACAGTTAGCCCAGGCCAGGAACAATTCCCAATTGTCAGTTTATATGTAGTCATGATGGTTTTGAGGTTGAGAAAGCTTAGTAGTACGGACATGGACTGCTCCGTGACCTCAGATGGCCTCAGTTCCTAGGCAAGTTTAATTTACTAATATAGATATTACGCAAGTGCATCACAAGCTTTAATGTCCATCAGGCCTAGCTGGAATAGATATGCCCCGTGACTTACCACCAAGAACAGCTAAGGAATCTGCAGTAGGTGGCAGTTCTTAGTGAAGGACATATAAGCCTGTAACAAAATTTGGGCAACCAGAGCAAAACTGTAGTTAGAGACTCACTGTTTAATACTGGTGCTTATCCAGACAAACTTCTCTCTCTTACCTTTGACTACTGAGGAGAAGAAATAAAACTACTGTATTCCAGTTATAGTGTGTATTGAGCTGCAAAGCAGAAAGTAAACTGACTTTGCCCTGATAAAATTGCCTAGGAAATAGGCCATCTGTAAGTAGATGTAAGTATACCCAGACAGTAAGAAAAATGGTGAAAATGAAACCATTACTAAAGAAATTAAGAAAATAATTTGCTTGACTAGTTTAAAAAGAATTTCTAAAATGACAAAAAGAAAGCTAAATATCTGTTTCAGCAATGTTTATATATTTCAGTGATGACTAGTGAGACTGGCAGCCGCAAGAGCAACCAAGACTGGAGGTCTTTTGTGCTGTATTAATGTAGAAAAAGACGACTTCAGCCCTTGAAGGGTTTGGTTTGTACGTGGAGGAAACACAGAGCGTAGTAATGAAAGTAGACAAGCCTGTTGAGGATTGGCGAGACCTTCAGATTTGTGTTTGTACCTGTTTTAGTGTAGATAGGTAGCTCAATGGAGGTTGGGATTAGGAGAGTAAATTGAGAAAATAGAGACAATATCAGTGTCATCAGCTGTCTGCCCAGTCTCAGAGGGCAGATTTCACAGATCTCATGACAGAGGTGAAAAAGACACTGTGAGAAGTGCTCCCCAGTGGGTGACACTCAATCTGACATGGGCTGGCACTCGAGCTGGCAGCATCATGTGCTCGAAGCCACCGGGCAGAGAGATCACCACAGCCCTGGATGTTGCAGTAACAAGAGACTCCATGTTGGCTTATTCCCGTCTCACATCAGGCTGGAGGTGGAGCTAAGACAACTATCCTCATGTGAATTCCAGGAGCAGCCAGGCACTTCTGACTTACATGGGATTTGGGTCCTTCTGTGGCCAGTGAAGGGGATGCCTTGCTTCAAAGCATACCTTCCGGCTGCTAAAATGTTTCAGGTTACGCTAAGTGAACCTATTTCCAAGGAGCCTAGACCTCAGTCATGGCACACCGGTACTCCTTGTGCTCTGTACTTTGTACATTTTCCTTTGAAAGACAAGACACACATGCAGCTAGTGAGCTGCACCTCAACTGTAAAAACATCTGCAGGAAAAAAAAAAAGGTTGCTCCCGGAAGAAATAAAGAACATACTTCAGCAATCACATTTTTCACCACGTAATTATTCATTCCCCTTTTCTTATTTGTGAGACACAAACATTAGTATGTTTCAGGATCCCTAGGCAGACCTGGCAGCACGGGTAGTTTTGCTTCTCACCCACTGAACGCATAGTTTCCCAAGACACCTCTCCTCCTCTTCCCACCTCTACTTAAACCAATCGACCCTATGGAAAATATGGCCCTTGGGGTGCACTTTTGACAAGCTTCTCGGCAAAGGGAGGCAAGTCCCAGCCTACAGCCCTGGCTGGGGAGCAACACCAGCAGGTCCACCCGCGCAAGTGCCCTACCTGATCTCAGCCATCGTGCTATGGCCATCTCTCAAAACCCAGGCTGCAGGCCACGTAGAGGGTTTCAGAGCTAAATTAACACCTCGAAATAAGTCCTGAGGAGTTTGTGTAATGTATCCTCCACAACATACCCCAAACTAAAATCTTGCTGTGTGTTTCAGTGGTTAAGCAAAATGATTCCTCTATATTTAGAGGAAAATTATGTCTGCCCCTAGAAAGGGGAGAGGACAGAAAAGAAAAAAAAAAAAAAACTTAAGGGCTAACCGTAATTTGATGGCCACCGCTGTAATACAGAGGGTGCAGCGAACAGCTCTGGCCAGCCAGAGAAGAGACATGTGGGTGGCACAAGGTCAGGGTGCCTCTGTTGCCTGACACAGCAGATTACGTGTCTGGCTCTCAACATACTCCCTCTAGGTCCTTGAAGACTTACCAGTACTACCAGCTGCCAAGAACAAAATTAAAATCTGTGATTTCCTCCCTCTGAAGGTGTCACAAGGCTGGTTTAAAGAATTTTTTGATGGGTTTAGACTCTTGAAACTTAGAAGATTTTTAAATGGCAAGTTAAGGAGTTCTTTGTTTGCACTCAGGTATTTGAATATTTAAAATGCTGTCAGGTAATTCTGAAAAAGTTTTCTTTCTGTTCACAAAGAAAAGAAATTAATTCTTTTTAAATTAGGTGAATTAAATATGGAGTTCTAATGTATTCTAATGCCACCAGAGTCATAAATTCAGAGAAATTTAGGCAACTGCCACCCAAGAAAGCCCCAACCAATAAACCCACCAACCAATCAAGAACACCTGAGTTGGGCTTTTCAAGAACATAATGAGAATCAGGTACTGCATCTCCTTGCACCCTCTGTCAGAGTGGTCCATAATTTGGTTCCTTTTTGAAAGGGAATCTTGCAAAGGAAGGAGGCTCAGGAGGGGATCCTGCCTTAAAGTATGAAAACAGTATATTGAAACATGTCACCAAACACCATCACCCACACCCACCCCCCTGCAAAAAACCTAACCCAAAAATACCCAAAAAAACCCCACAAAGAACCCAAAGACTGGTGTGCCTCTGGAGTTCTTGTATTTGCTACCTGTCCCTGAGTAGAACTTTGTTTCTTTTAAGCCCCTCCAAGCTAAGATAGAAACTTTTTAAAAAGTCATTTACTGGGGTAGCGTCTTTAATATGATTTGGGATCATTCTGGTTGCTAAAGCAACATAAGCTGAAATTAAAGCTTTCCTTTTTGCATTCCACACCTTCTAATTTTTCTCCATGCAATGAAGTCATCATAATCATGTACCTTTGATCTTGCAGTCATCTGTGACACTAGATTAAGATATCACAAGTGAACAATTACAACTTCACAGAATGAAAGAAAAAGAAAATTAAGCCTCATAAAGCAAGGGTTTGTTTTAAATAAAAAAAAAAGGTGAAAAAACCTTTCTCATTCTTACAAAGTAAATGTGCAAGCCGTGTTAAAGGAAGATGGAGTCATGATTTGAAAAATCATATTTAAAAGCCTTGGTAACTCTTTTGAAACTCTTCTCTTGACTCTTGGGGGAGGAGGGGTGAGCGTAAATATTTTAACCACCAACTACAAAATATTTGAACTAAATATAGAGTAACTGTACATGAAGGCTGTTGTGCTTCTGTACTATTCTCGTCTTTGTTTCCCTTTTTTGCTTGTACAGGCTGTTCCACCACCAAACTTTGAGATGCCAGTTTCTATCCCAGTGTCCAACCACAACAGTTTGGTATACAGTAACCCAGTCAGCTCACTGGGAAACCCCAACCTCTTGCCGCTGGCTCATCCTTCTTTGCAAAGAAATAGCATGTCTCCTGGCGTGACACATCGGCCTCCAAGTGCAGGTAACACAGGTAGGCTTTGTTCAATCCCATCCCGTTAAATGTTCTTTTATCAGCTGCTTGTGTGGCTTAGGTCACTTTAAACTATACTCTGAGAAACAAGAACTCCGTTTTTAACGGTCATAACAGTTTGTTCAAAATTGCTGTGTTGAAAAATCAAAAGAGCCAAAGGGGTTTATAGTCCCAATTTAGAAAATAAAAAAAATAAAAAAAAAAATAGGTTCTAGAAAAAGCTGAATATTGATGAAGATTAAAGGAAATCAATAAAAGGATAAAAGGGCAGACAATTTGCTGTTTCATAAAAAGGCAGCTTGTCTGCTTAATTCATGCAAGAACTCACTATACCATAAAGCTTAAGGGGGCAGGGGAGAAAATGTAGCCAACGCAAACAAGTTGAAGCAAGTAAAATAGGACACTCATTACTTAAGTCATCAGGCTAGAGGCTAAACGCAGAATTTATTATTAGTTATGAATTCACAGGTTCCTTGATGGGTGTGTGTTAGCTGGGCTCAGTACGTGAGTGCCTTGTACAGCAAGAGGCTGTGCTTTGCTCTGGTGATGATGAGGGCTCACCTCTGAGTAGGATAAATGGGGATTAAGTTCATTCAATCTGTCTGGCTGAAGCAACACCAAGATCCTTAAGTATACCGGATTCAAAGTACCATTTGAGGTCCCCAAGTGCAAAGAGAAGTTTTAGAAATCCTTAGAGTGAATGCCTATGAAAGGCTGAGAAAATTGAAATGAAAAGCTATGTAAATATGCATTATAGCTTCTGAGTTATGTTCTCATACAGGAACTTTCAGTCTCTTCCTCCCAATTCTATGTAGAAGCCTTTGCTTTTCAGACTAATACTGAACTAAAGATGGTTTTCAAATTAATAACTACTATACATAACTTTCAAACATAATTTTTTTTCATATGCTGTGGAATTATGAAAATAAAATAATGAAATGTTGTGTACTACGTATTTTGTTTGTCTTTGACAGGCAAGTATCTTGTATGGGTAACATTTAACATTACAATTTTATGAGTATGGGTCTGATCCAATGCCTGTGGAAGTCAGAGTAGAACAGTGGCAGGCACTGGAGCAGGCTGTTTGAAGTTAGAGAAAATGTGTTGAATGTTTGCCTGTTATAATTTATCGTGCTCATTTGTAGTATTTCATTTCAACCCCCTAGGTGGCCTGATGGGTGGGGACCTCACAACCGGTGCAGGCACCAGTGCAGGTAAAGAGCAAAGAATTCGTATTTATTTTTCTAAGTGAACAAAGGACTTCCTTCAAAGGCCAAGTCCTAAAATAGCTCTATGCTGGAGGTGGGATATTAGAAAGTGATCAGCATTCGTTTATTTCCCCCAGCTGAGGGGTGGGGAGTTGATATTTGTGCTTCTCTTATTTGGAGGAAGAGCCTTGTTTTCAGCAATGTCGAAAATCTTGCACCTCAACAAATTCCACAGATACAAATGTCTGTTTTCCTTCACATTAGCCTTTCCATAAAAACTTCTGGGTCCGTTGCATAGCCCTGCTCAGGCAAAACTCCTACCGAGGCCAGTGTCAGAAACCCTGATCCTTTTCAAGTCACAGGGAGCTTTCCCGTTGATTTTAGTGGAATTGGGGTTTCATTTTATGAATTTAAGCTTGAGTAAAGATTTTGATACCAAGTCTTTTGTTAGACTTCAATCTACTGAGCACAGATTTGATTTCAAGCCCCTGCTTTAAGACCATTGCTAGTCAGCAAAATCTGTTAGCATTTGCTTAAATAATCAGTAATTAACTTAAGCTTAGTTTTATGTATTTACTTAAGTGCTTTGGTACACAACAGGGAAAGGATTTTCAAAATACCCATGCAGAGAAAAAGATTAGCCCATTTAGTCCTGCTCCCATAGAACTAATGACAACTGTACTCGCTAAGGTCTGTGTTATCAAAGCAATGTTGTCAGAGTAGTCCCCTTTGCTCAGTAAACTCAGTGGTTTGCTAGCAATGTCAGCAATGTTGCATTATTACAAATACGGATTACAAAAGACAATGGCAAGATTACTGTTTCAGTTTGAGAAGTAAACACATATGTTCGAAGAAAATAAGCTGAGTCGTACAACATGGAGCACATCCAATTTTACTGGGTTAACTGCTCTCAGAAAAAACTGTATGGAAAAATAGTTGGAAGATCCATTTTGTGCACTATAAACCAAGGCTGCTGATTCTGACGTTGTCTCATAAAATTAACTTATAAAGAAATTCTGGGTATAGCGATCTTTTCTTTCTTGGCTCTTCTCAGCCTTCGTTAGACCACCCCCCTTTTATCTTCACACATGGATGAGTCACAGATGTTTGTGTGATGCATTTGTAGAAAAATTGAAACTGCGCAGCACTGTATCAGAAAGGCACTTTAAACCCTTGCTGAAGCTTTGAGGGGTCATTTTGTATTAATTTAGGAGAAGGAAAGGCAGACCACGGGAACTTAGCTATTAGTCTCCTTTGTTCTCAAAAAAAAAGAAAGCATGATAGAAAATTACAGTTTTGTTAATTGTCTTTTGTTAGCCTGCGAAACACAGCTAGAGAAAGATTAATTCTGGCGATGGTCGCAAATCATCTTGCTTTAACCTCGTGTAGTAGAAACTTCAGGAACGGCAACGGAAGGACTCGTATAGGAAATTGATTGCCCTATTAAGGGGCTCCCTCTACTGGCTTACTAAGAAATATCATTGTCTCGTCACTGGTTTCCCTGTTCCTTTAAAAGGACGCTGGAAAGCGATTAGTAAAAAAGGCAATGTTTTCTTTTAAAAGGTGCACATTCTAAAATAAAAGTTCCTGAACACTTATAATCTTAATTATCGTCGTGCTTAATAAAATCTGTATATCAATATGCCAGCTGAAAATTTATATTCTTTCTAAATACATTTTTTTTTCTTGGAAATATATTAAAAGCATATATAAGCGTAGGAAGAGGAATAGCCTGGTTATTTACTCACAAATTAAGAATTTGTATTTCCTGGGCACAGGGTTATGCATTAAGCTCTCAAACAATGTAACTTTGGAGTAGGCAATTGATTTGAGGGGCGTATATATGAGGGGCATTGCTAGGAATGCATCATAAATATTTAATCGTATGAATAGTCTTTGTTCTTTATCTAGCAATAAGAGCTTTAAACACCATTAAAGAAGTGTTTTCTAAATCTCTTAAATGCAGAGCAGTAGGAAGAATTTGATGCAAAGCTGGAGGAAGATGAAAAGGTCACTATAAGGTTGAATCCTCTGTCTTAGTTGCATCATACCACAATGGCACTATTTTGGACAGTCCTCTTTCTTTAGGGTGCAGAAGAATAAACATCAAAAGTTCTCTTTGTTCATCATTCTTCACAAGAAACAGAGACCTCTGTGTCTTTTTTTTTTTATTTGGCATCTTAGAAGCTGGTAGCATGATCATGTGGTTTAATCTGTTGAGGTTCATATTTCTGGCCAAATTAGAACATTATGAATTTGCATTTTTCTGCAGTGTTCAAAAATAGCATATATTCAAAATAACATACTCCAAGATGAAGAGTCTAAAGAGTTTCATTTCTGCCATTATAAAATGAAACTACTCTTGATTGCTAACACCAGGCCTCAGTTTCTGCACTACTTTAACAAATTACATTATAACAAATTACATTATAACTGCAATATCAGAAATGGAAAAAGATTAGTTAAGCCTGTGTTTTGAGAAGTATGTTATTTTGTTGGGTTGGATTATTTCAAGTAATAACCCTGAAATCATCCACTATTTACCTTGGGAGTCAACCCAAGACATAAATAGAACTTTTAAAAGCTGACTATTTCTTTATTACCCTACACAACTAAATCCCGTCAGAGGTATTTTTAAGTTAAACCAAGGTTATCTCAGGTTTGTTAAAGTAAATTTTTTCTTAGCCAAACACTGATTGAATAGTTTCTATCATGTGATAGTAGCAATTGCCAACAAAATTGGAGTGAACTTCACATTTAGTCTAGTTGCTAAATTGTAAATACAGCAATGTCTTTGGCACTATTCTCTCAAACCAGAGGCTTTCGACTGAAAGAGAGAACAAGAACTTTTTGGACCCAAATCAGTATGGACTAAAACCATTCTAGCTTACCCCATAACTCATATGAAGGCTCAGTGACACATGACCTGGTTACATAATAGACTATGTGAAGTTCTTTTAATTTTTAGGGACCATAGTCTTTAACAAAACCACTTAATGGTGACTTGACCAGAAATAAATGTTTATGAAGTTTTAGTACTGTAAATTATGTGAACTCAAGTTTTATTCAGTGGCTCAATATTATGTTGAAACCCTGATAAAAGGTTAAAACTTCAAAAATATTGCAATATTTTTAAAGTCAAAATACAGTAGTACTGGGGGATGTCTTTCTTTGCATCTGTACTTTAAACTTTTGATTTTCAAACTGAGCTATATTTTCAGATTGAGTTATATTTTTCATTTTTTATATCGTTTTCAGATTATGGCATTTTGTGTTTTATAATTAAGTTTTCTTTTGAATGGAATAAGTCCATCTAAATCAACAGAATTTCTTTACATTTTATACCACTAAAAATAATAAAATTGAAGGAAAAATTCTACCTAAAATTTTTAATCCAGTATGGGTATAATAAAAAATATACTTGCTTTAATTGTTTGTTCACTTCCTGTAATTTGTTTATTTCACTATTTGATTTTTGTACTGCCTCCATCTTAACATTAATATTAAGCTAAAGGAGCAAGTCATTCAAAAGTACTTGGGACACTACAAATGCTGTCAGAGGGGCCAAGTGCTTGTTTTTTTAAATCAAGCATCCTCAAACTACCTTTAAACCTATTCTTCAAAATCATTAGACACTGAAAAGATTGGTAGCGCATTTTGAAAAATTCATCCCATGTCTTTTTAATAACAGAATCCCACATTTACCTATAAATCAGTAGCTAGTCATTTTCTTCTGGAAATTAACCACAAGCTAACAGTTGCCTTCTTGTCTTCCGAGGGCTGAGGTCCTGGATCTGCCAGCCAATATCATAATTTGCTAGTGCTTTCCTGCTCCTTTTTCTTTTCTTGGTCATGTACTGACTGTGGGTGAATGTATTATATATTCTACTAGTATTTCAAGGCACATGGGAATATATATAATAGTAGGGGTTTTTAATTTATAAGCCCTCAGGGTAGAGGCAATCTGGATTGTATCTTCTCAAAAAAGTGTGATTTACTGAAAAGAAGCAATCTGCCCAAATAAACCTACAAGCAGTACCAAAAATAAGCAAGTATTTCAAAGGCACCTAGTTGCATTAGTGCCTTTTGAAACTATTAACTATAAATAAGCAAACTAGTACTAAAAAAAAAAAGAAAATTAAAAGGTTAGATAAGTATTCTCCCCCATGCCCTGAAATCATGCTTGACACAGTCAAGAGAAGATAATTCTTAGGCTACAAGTGTGGAATATGTTAAATAAACAAGTGTGTTTAGAACAATGATTCCCAAACCGCAGTTTATGGGCAACCTGTTAACACTGGGCTGGCCAGGGCGAGCATGGTAAGTTGTTGCCCTTCCCTTATTACTCGATGAGTGCCATCACCCACAGACCTCTGATCCAAAGATTGGGCAAGATGCGGTACAAAAGTGTAGTAAACAATAGTTCCTGTCCAAGGAAGTTTACAGTCCAAAAGAAAGAACATGCAGTCATTCATAACAGAGTCTGTGATGCAATAGTGCCAAATCCAAACAATAAGAAATCATAAATTGGCAGGTTGCCTTAAAACCACATAGGGGCATAAGAAATAGAAAACACAACAGCTCCCCTTTTCTCTTTTTCCACCCATATTATGCCATTAAATGTTCCTTTTCCAAACTTTCCTCCATATAAGGAGGCTATATACTTTTTTTTCAGTGTTTTAAGGGAAGAACCTGTGGATAGATTTGTGATAAAGCAGAGGGAACACTAGAACTTCCCTGGCATCTCTAACACAAAGTATGAAGGAAATAGACAGTCTGTCAGTACCTGAATTTCATACCTGTGTAGGCAGTCAACACAGGCCTTTCCAAAATTAAGCCCTATTTCTGCCCTAAGCAACTGCTCTGTTTTATACAGCTTATTTTCATGCAGGTAAAAATCACATCAGTGAAACTTTGAGGATAAGTTTGAAAGGATAGATGCTGCTGTCTGTGTAAAAATCAAACAAATCTTGCATTGGGTGTCATGCAAAGGTTGGATGTGTGTG